GCTAAAGGTGCCACAGCGAGTGAAATCCTTCATTTGGTTAGTGCTCCATGGTAAGTTGTTAACAATGCATAAAACAGGAAAACCCAGTTTTGATTTAGTACTATTAACAACAATAATTCTAACTTTTCGTTGAATTTTCTCTTGAAAAAAGCAAGTCAAGTTAACATGACACTTGCTGCATTTTAACTTAGATGATCTATGTACCATGGTGTGCAGCGTTAATATTTTTACTGGTTCTTGCATTTTTAGTGATCTGGGTACTACTGTTTTTCCCTTAGTTCATTGCAAGGGTTTCAGGTCATAAGAAAATGTAGGATCGTTCTGGTTTATCAAGAACTGCAAGCTTTAGTCCAGAGAATCTAGGGCAAAATGCTTTGCATATGATTCACAATCTTTGTTTCTATGTATTTGACTCATACTCATTTCAACTCGAATTAACTTATCTAAAGATTGAACCGAACTTAAAACCAATTGATCAAATATTGAACCAATATAATATTGTTCTAAATAGAAAATTGGTTGATTCGATATCAACCCGACTCGACTCGATTTACCATAAACCTAAACTAAATTTGAATCCAACTTCTATATATATATATATATATATATATATATATATATATATATATATATATATATATTTGCTGAATTTTTTAGATAGTCCAAATAGTAAATATCTTGATTGATATAAATTTAAATTTAGTCAAGATAAAAAGTCTTAAAATTATTCAACTTATTTTAATTTATTCAAAAAATTAAAACTCTTTTCACTAAAGTAAAAAAAATCAATTATCTTATCTTTCTCAATTGTCCATGTTATTTTTAACCAGTAAAAATGTTATAAATATCAAACCTCTTAATCATTGTAAAATATATAATATGAGAGTCTCTCCTGTCTCACTTGTTTTTTTACTCCTATTGAGTTTGTTGAATATTTTTTTATTTAATTATTATTATTATTCTTGAGTCTCATTTTTATAAGAAAAGATTATTTAATCGTAAATAACACGTCATACTATAAAATATCTTTTAATATCTTATCTACAACATGTCTTAAACTAATACAATTTCGAATCTTATCTTATTTCAACTCGATATTTATCATACATGATACAACTTGCACGTAAAAACTACATTGTGGCGAAAAATAAAAAATCAATATTATGGGTTTGGCCCGCCAAAATATAAGAAATGGGGTGATTTGATAATTGGTATTGACGACCCTTTACAAGTGGGATGATAAACATAATCATACTCTTATATTTCTTGGGTAAATTTACTATTTGGTCACCCACCTATTATTTAATTTTTATTTTAATTATTTAATTATTTTATATTGTTTCTATTTTTTTCACTTGTCATTAAAAAATTAACGATCATGTTGATGTGTCTTCATAAGGTAATATTAAAAACTTGTTATGTCAATATCACCATTCTTTTTGTATCGACTGATGACTTAAATAAAAAATAGAATATGACATTAAATATGATTTGAAAAATAATTGAGTTATCAAAATAGAAACAAATAGGGATAGATCAATTAGGGGTGGGAGGGAGCTGTCGCCCCTTAAAATTTAAAATTATTATATGTTTTATATTTTTTATACGTAATTCTATTGAAAATTTATTTTCACCTTCTAAATTTTATAAATTCAAATTCGCACCCTAACATAAAATCTTCCGTCTCTCTGAAAACAAGTAATAGGAAGGTGACAAAATAGATAATTTACCTTTTTTATTTACGATAAAACAAGAAATACGAAAATAATAAAAATGATGAAATAATCTAAAATTAATCCCTTTTTTTTTTTACACTTTCGTCCTTTTTTATTTAGTATATGTTGTACAGATTTTGAGAGCTGACGTTCACACTGCAATAAATCTGTTAAATCCAATCACATTTGGACAACTAAAAGTTGGAAAAAGAATTCTTTTTTACCAGCCGCCAGGAGTTTTTTTACCACATAAATGGTGAGTTATAGTGCATATTAAGTTATTATGTAATTTGTAAATATGACAAGTTTGTGGATAAGGTCGACATTTACGTATATTTTTTATAGGCTGCAGAATAGACGTGTGGCATATGCTCGCAATTATTGATAGTGGGGCATAATAATGGAATACTTTTCAATATGATGTATAAATATATATTAAATGTTATATAGAAAGTAGTTGATTTTATTAAAAATATAAAATATTTAAAATTATAATGAATATTTAGAAGTATAATAGTAAATCTAAAATATATTTATGATATTTTATTATTATCATTAGGATAGAAACTAATCACTTAGATTACGTATGAATCAAATTTAAAAAATCTAATCAAAAAGTTCAAATAAAATAAAGATACGAACAAATCTAATTGCATTGGCAAACGAATCACAAAAGGGATGAAACTACTAAAAGACCACGAACAAATAATAAATCAGAGTTGAGTGACATGAGAAAACTATCAACAAAAACAAAATGTGTATCCAAATCAATCAGATGGTCCAAAGCAAGGAAGATCAACATGTTAACAAATAAGCTCTATCTTGAGCAGTCATGGTGATGTCAAATCTAATTATGAGAAAAAAGATAAACGAAAACAACGGTCAAAAAATTGAAAACTATCAAAAGACAGAGATAAACATTCCACAAAGACAACAGAGATAAACGTAATATAAAGACATGATTATTCTTATTAAAAATTTAAAAAAAAACTAAAAAAAAAACAATCGACAGTTAGCAGCCAGTATCAAAATTGGTGACACCAATGACTAAATAAAATCAAAGAATAAAAAATTGATTCTATCTATAGAAAATGACACATATTGTAAGTGGAAAAAAAGAGGGAAAGGGTGAAGGGAGAGAGCGGCTAATATAATATTAAAAGTTAATAAATGTATGAAGTAAAACAATAATAAGAAAACTTTAACACAAATTAGTCTAAAATTTATTTAGATATATAATTTTTTGAAGATAATTATAATATATTGAATTACATAAATACTTTATAACGAAGTGTAATAAAAATGCAACCCAAGTAATTAACAAAAAAAAATCCTTCTTCCTTTCTTCATTCTTCTTCAAGATCATTAAAAAAATTGATATGATCTATCATGCCTTAATTTGGTTGAGACTTCAGGCATCAAATTTTCAATTTAATATTCAAACGCATGCATTAATAATTTCTCTACTTCTACTTAATTAAGCTATACAATTTACGTAATAAATTGGGGTTTTGTTATTATATATATATATATATATAGAAAGAGCATATTTATCTCAATAGTTATAAGAATCGTTGTTGTTCTTAAATGTTATGGGTTCGAGTATTAGTGATTACAACAGTTGTATTTTTTATTTTTCAAATTTTCAAAACAATTTTAATAAAATATTGAAACATCTTTTTTATGTTTTTATATTTTCACTTATTTTGTGTATTCATTTTCTATAAATCATTTTCTAATTTTACCACCAACATGTTTTCTTCATATTTTCTATTTTCTAAAAAAACGAAAATGAAAATAACCTATATTATATTGAACCAAACGGACCCTTAATTTCTATTATGGTATGTTAAATTTTCAAAAGATGCAATATTATCATTTTATTAATAATTTACCCAAAAATGTAATTATTAGAAAGACCCTTTTATATTTTAGAAAATAACGAATAAAATCCACCAATTTCTATATTAAAATACGTTTATCTTTTTCCTTCCCAAAGTGGATGTACCTAATAAGACTAGTGTTTATATATGATAATGGTCGTAGTGACACTTAAACCAACCATACAAATGCTTTATGTTTGACGTATTTGTTTTGCAAATCATAATTAATAAAGTACTAAAGTACATATAATGTACATAAATTTAATAGAAATCATTATTCATTAGTCAAATTGTGAAATGTAATTATACCACTTCTGTAACTTGTGGAGGAAAATAGTCCTTATCTCTAGTGTTAATTTGGACATTGCTTTAACTTGTGGAGGAAAATAGTCCTTATCTCTAGTGTTATTTGGCATTGCTTTAATCCAATATGATATCACCAAGCAGAGAAAAACTATTACCACTACACATCATGACGTTATGGATATAAGGGGAAAAAACATCAACAGGACTTAAAATACTATTTAATTATTGAATTAAATATTTAATTTAATTCATAAATTCTTTTTTCATAATTGTTGTGCCTCCTGTAAACCTTCTTTGCAAATTAAGATCTACTTTCACAATGAAATTATAAGATTCCAGAAAATAAGGGATTATGAGTTGTACACTTTTTATATCGATATGATCTTTAAAAGATCTATGTCAGAGTTAATAATGATTACATCAATGTCGATCAATTTATGGGATATAATTCATTGTTATTAATGTATAAATATGGAGAAACTTGTAATGAAATATAAATATTGATTAACATCAACTTTCTCTTAATTAAGCAATCTTTTCTATTATTTTTATAATAATAACAAGATGATAGATACGTGGTAAGAAAACAAAATTACAAAACATAAGGAACACTCAACTGAACCATCTCTTATTAAGACAAAATAAACAAGGGGAAAAAGACAAGTCATCCAGACTCGGATCAACCCCACCACCTCACCACCTTATTAACCCCATCACCTTCGCCTCACTTTCCCAAACCAAATCACCTCTCCGGGTTGCTACCTCTGTCTATGACCCCAACGCAACCACCGCCACCGGTGCAAAACCTACCACCATTCATGATCCACCGCAACCACTGATGTCGGCCGCCTCCAGTCCGCTTTACAAGCACCCGTCGTGGTCGCCGGACATATTCCGAGACGAGCGTGGCTGAGAGGAAGGAAAGCAAAGAAGAAGAGCAGAGCGTGACGGATGACCTGGACGAGCTCAAGGCGTGTATCGAGTTGGGGTTCGGGTTCGATTCGCCAGATCAGGTGGACCAACGTTTGTCTGATACTTTCCCTGCTTTGGGTCTTATTATGCTGTTAATAAGAACTACAACGACACCATCATCTCCAGCCTTCGACGGCGTCTCTTCGGTTGTTTCCGATTCCGAGATTCCTTCGCCTATTGGAAGCCCCGCTCCATTGTTGGCCCTGGTGAGTCATGAATTCAACTTGTGTGATCTTGAGTTTTGTTGGGAACTTGTTTTTATTCTGATTTTTTTTTTTTTTTTTGGTGGTGATTGAAGGTGATAATCCACAGACGGTGAAGACAAGGTTGCGGCAATGGGCGCAGGTGTTGCTTGTTCGGTGCGGCAAAGCTCATGACGACGGCGATGGATGGATGTGTTCCATAACATGATATGGCCATCAAGGTTTTGAAGATCAAATTCTAAGGAATAAAAACCGATGAAAGCAGCTTGTATATCAATGTAAAAAAAAAATGAACTGTCTTTTTGTTTAGCAAATTTGGTTAGAAATTTCGGAAAAGGAAAAGATAAAGATCCAGACCAGACATTAAATGAACTAGATGACTTTTATTGCTTGTAATAGGAATTTTGCACTGCTGTCCACAGCTGATTTATCTTTTATTTTTTTCCAATTTGCTCAAGGTTTCGTAGTTTGTCTGAACCATGCCCTGTAAAAACATGTTTGCGGCTTTTTTTTGTATATATATAATGCTGAGAACATTGTTGTATTCGATAATTAGAAATTTTCCCTTTTATTTTTCTTTTGTACGTATAATAAAATATTTGCGTGACCTAATAATAAGTAAACACTTGGTATTGGAGGAATACCGCGTGCTTTGGATTATGGGCAGACAATTAATAATTTTTGTTTATTAGAAAGAAAGGCAATTTGGAGTACAAGTTTTTATTTATTTTTTGTAAAAATATCATTTGTATTATACGAATAGTATTACAAAGAAAACTCCCCAAACATCTCATTAAAAAACTTCCCTAAGCCTACTCGAAGGTGTCGTAACCGTCTTTCGGTTGGGCCCGGGATTGGGCTTCGACTTGAAAAATGTGGATTGGAGTCGCCACCGATCATTTATTTAAAAATAAATAGGTAGATCGGATACCTTATTTCTTACCTGATCTGCGTCTTACCAAAGATGTGTCGGATTCGGGAGTCGGTTACAGTCAAGGAAGGGTTAGCACCCTTGAACTGCCCTTTCGGTACACATAATTTCCAGTTGTCTTTAATTAAGAAAGTATAAATCTAAATTAAAAAGGTAAATAACGATCCAAAATTACTTACCCTTGATTAATTGAATGAAGACCATTAAGAAAAAACGTTACGTTTGGAGGGTGAAAATAATAAGATATAACAACCACAAACCAATGATACAATAAGAGAGACAATACAAATAACTAATGATAAATAAGATAGATAAAGGAAAAGAAGAAAAAATACTAAATAAATGTATTATACATATATGCATGAAGAGCAAAAAAAAAACATACAACAAGAAATGAAAACTATATAAACAAAGGAATACAAATAAAACATGTGTAAATACAAGGAAACGCAACAAATAAATAAATGAAAAAAAAGAATATACTATAATAAAAAGAAAAAAATACATTTATATACGCCATCAATAATACTAAAATAAAAATAATTATGGTTTGTATATATATATATGGGTATATATATATATAAAATATAATAAAATAAAATAAAAATATACATAAGATATATATATAAAATAAGGGAGTAAAATATATAATAATAATATGGTATATAAATAGTAGGGATTAAATTGAGATGAAATAAACTCAAGGGTCAATTTACAAGGATTTCAGGTTCAATAATCGATTCAGAGGACCAAATTAAACGTTTTGAAACTGGAGAACAAAACGCATATATAATAAGGAGTAAATATAATAATAATGAAAATATAGTATAATAATAATAGTAGGGATTAAATTGAAAACAAATAACTCAAGGGGTCAATTTACAAGGATTTCAGGTTCGATAATCGATTCAGGACCAATTAAATGTTTTTGAAACGGAGAACCAAATCGCAAATCTCTCGCTTCTTGCAAAAACACGCGGGTCCGAGGTTCATCGGGTCGGGCATAAGCTGGAACGGGTTTAATATGATTCAAACATTTTTTTTAGTTTCATTTCTCTCCTCCCAAATCAAAGCTCTCCTCCCCCTCTCTGAAAAACACTCTCAAGTGTTCTTCAAAAAATAAGAACACGGCCGGATTCTTCAAGAATCCAGAAACCGACCGCCCTACGCCGTCTCACCGCCGCCGTTGAACGGCGACGGCCGCCGTTCATCGGCGGCAAAATCAAAAGATTTTTTACTTTTCTGAATGCTTTTCTTCTCCTCGTTTTGAAAATCAAGTTGGTTTTTCAAAAAAAGGCCTCGGGTTTTCGTAGATCTATACAAACGATCTCGAACGAAAACACCTTTTCATCGGCCAAAAGATTTTTTTTTTTTTTGCTTTTCCGAATGCTTTTCTTCTCCTCGTTTTGAAAATCAAGTTGTTTTTTTAAAAAAAAAGGCCTCGGGTTTCGTAGATCTATACAAACGATCTCGAACGAACACCTTTTCATCGGCCAAAAGATTTTTTACTTTCAACTCAAAACAACACGATGGACGATAAATTTGACGTGCAAAGGATCAAGCGAACGAAAAGGTAAACAACTAATATACCTCGCTTTTATTTCTTGTTTCGAAATGTTGTACAGTGTCTGACTTTCTTTGTGATTGCTATGGTGACTTTCTGTGTTTCGTAGTAATCTCTCTGTGTCTAAACTTGTGTTTACATAATATTTATAGCCCAAAAAAATGGCTATTTTTAGAGTTTAAATTAAAGTAAAACACTGATGTTGGTTGTTGTTGCTTATTTCTTTGCGTGGCCGAGAGTCCCGGTCGTTTGAAGGCGAGACGTGCGGTGATGGGGTCTTGCCGTGAAACTCGGTGTTGGCCGCGTGAAAAGGTAGCTGAAGCGGCGCTGACGAGGCTAGGGTTTGAGAGCATATGTTTAGGGTTTCTGAAAACCCCACACGTTTGGACTCCTACGTTTGGGTTGTGTACAGCTGGGCCTCGTGTAACAGGCCTGCAAATGTAACAGATTTTGTGTGTAAATATGTATGCACCATATGTAATATATATATATATATATATATATATATATATAATAGATAATATATATATATATATATGTATATAATATAATGTAATGTATTATATAGTTAAAGGATAAAATTTGGTGTCTTCAGCTGCCCCTCTTGCTCATTATCGTGTAACGAAAATAGAGCAAAGATTAAAGACCAATTTTGTCTATATCGAACATTTTCTGTCGTAGAGTTGAAATTGTCGAAATGACTCCCTCTCCGTGAGGTTAAGTTTAAACTGGAAAATGCTGAGCACGAAATCCCTCATCGTGAAGTTGAAAACGAGCTCAAAGCTTTTTTGACAATTGGCCTCTGAATCGTCTCCTGGCTCAAGATACTTCGTCATGAAGGTGGAACTTGACCTGAAAGCTTCGGTGTTTGCAGATGACTCCTTCGTCTTGAAATTGAGTCAATCTGTTTGTGAAGTTGGAAATGGCTATGGAATTGAGAAATTATTCGTTGAGCCAGTCGTCCCTTCGTTGTGAAGTCGAGCTTGTGCTTCTTGAGTCCAATATCCTTCGCTGTGAATTGAAATTGGCTCTGACATTGAGAGATGTTTGTTGACAACCAGCGGTCCCTTCGTCGTGAAGTTGAACTTGCGTTGTTGGAGTCCAATATCATTCGTTGCGAAGTTGAAATGGCTCTGAAATTGAGAGATGTTTATTGACAACAGCGGTCCCTTCGTCGTGAAGTTGAACTTGCGTTGTCGGGAGTCCAATATCCTTCGTTGTGAAGTTGAAATTGGCTCTGAATTTGAGAATGTTGTTGACAACCAGCGGTCCCTTCGTCGTGAAGTTGAACTTGCGTTGTCTGGAGTCCAATATCCTTCGTTGTGAAGTTGAAATTGGCTCTGAATTGGAGAAATGTTTGGTGACAACCAGCGGTCCCTTCGTCGTGAGTCCAATATCCTTCGTTGTGAAGTTGAAATTGGCTCTGGGTAAACCTGCAAAGATATGCATATGCGATGTATGGATGTCATGCTCTTAGGCATGCCTAAAATGTATGGGTACATATGTTATTACGGGCTCTGGAGAGAAATCTTGATTTCTGGTGGCCTGTCGTTGTTGACTCTTGACTTTGAAAGCTTGAATTCCGATCTCTGATCTTGAATTCTTCAATATTTGATGATGATTTTTTTTTTTTTTTTGAAGATGCTCCTCAACCTCTCAGCATGTGCATGAGCCCTTGATCGCTTCTGGGTACCTGTACTTTTCAATGAATCTTTGTACAGTAATGATTATCTTCATAAAAATAAATAATCATTAGGTTAAATCTAATTCAGATGCTCAAAGGAATTGGAGGAAGATGATCTTTATTCATAAGGAGGAGAAGAAACAAATAATACATGGCAAACATTCTAGAAAACGAATACACAATGATGTGTATGAATGTCTTAGATCTCGATAACGTGGCACTTCTGAGTTGAAAAGCCGTTTGGTGACTTTGAATGCAGCCTTTGCCAAAGGATCTTTGAAATGCGACAACGTTTGGAGGTGCAACATTCTCCGATTTGTGAGTTCGTAGAAGATTCAGTGCCGGGATGTTCCACCGTTTGATATCCAATCGCCCTTTCCGGTTTTCAACTTAGACCCATCCTTAGTTGCAAGACGCCCTTTTGCGGGTTTTCATCTTAACCCCCTTATTTTCTCCTCTTTTTCTTTTTTCAATTTAGGGCGCCCTTTCGGGTTTTCACCCCCAACGTTTTTTTTTTTTTTTTTTCAACTTAGGATGCCCTCTCGGGTTTTCATCCTAGCGAAGTATTTCTTGACTGCGTCCGAGTTAATGGGATGTGGCAGCTCAGTCCGTCCATTTCAGCCAGGATAAGGGCTCCTCCGAGAAAGCTTTTCTTCATGACATAAGGTCCTTCCCAATTTGGCGTCCATTTTCCTCGGAAATCTTTCTGGACTGGCCAATTCTTTTTAGCACTAGATCCCCTTCACGGATATTTCTCGTCGCACCTTTTTGTCGTGTGCTCGGATCATTCGTTTCTGATAGATTTGACCATGATGAATGACTTTTAGTCTTTTTTCATCTATCAATTAAGCTGATCATATCTGGATTGTGCCCACTCTGCATCATCTAGTTTGACTTCTACAAGACCCTGAGAGACGGAATCTCGACTTCAATGGGTAGCACTGCTTCCATTCCATAGGCTAGTGAAAATGGAGTTGCCCCAGTCGATGTACGTACCGAGGTTCGTAAGCGAACAAGCAAAAGGCAACTTCTCATGCCAGTCTTTGTAGGTTTCAGTTGTTTTTCCACTACTTCTATATTTTTTGTTTGCTGCTTCTACTGCTCCGTTCATCTTTGGTCTGTAAGCAGTGGAATTGTGATGTTTTATGTTGACTGTTCGCAGCACACTCACCATCTTGTTGTTCAGTTTGTTGCGTTATCGGTGATAATCCTTTCAGGTAGACCATACCGACATATAATATCTTTCTTCAGAAACTTGCAAATAGTGGATTGAGTGACACTGGCGTATGACGCAGCCTCTACCCATTTCGTGAAATAATCAATTGCTACGAGAATGAAA